GTATAACCGAGTAACTCGCAATTTCTACCCGTATCAGCTGTGGGAAAGAGAACTCCATAGGAAAAAGTTCCTTTGATGTATCTTAGGAGCCTCTTAACTGCTGCCAAATGTGAAATCTTTGGTATCTCCATGAATTTACTTGCAATACCGACACTAAACACCAAATCTGGCTGCGTATTACACAAGTAAAACAATGATCCAATCAACCTCCTATATTGATTTGGATCCACACCTTGTTCATCTTCACTTTTGGACATCTGCAACCTTGCTTCAGCCGGTGTTATGGCAGCATTATAATGACCCATATCACACTTTTTCAATATCTCAAGAGCATACTTCCTTTGATGCCTAAACAATCCAAATTTTGACTTATGGAACTCTATGCCAAGAAAGTAAGTCATGATTTCAAGGCCGCTCATTTCAAACTCTTCCATAAGCTCACACTTGAACTTAGAAATATTCACTTCATTGCTGCCCGTAATTAATAAGTCGTCCACATATAAGCAAAGTATAATCACTTCTTTGCTTGCATCCGTCTTCATATAAACACCATGTTTGGATACACACTTCTTGAAGCCAACCTCAACTAGAAATGCATCTATGCGTTTGTTCAAAGCTCTAGGTGCTTGTTCCAAACCATAGAGTGCCTTTTTCAATTTTTAGACTCTCCCCTCTTGATTCTTCACCACAAAACCAGCGGGCAGCTCTACGTAGACTTCCTCCTCAAGTGGACCATTCAAAAATGCAGATTTTACATCCATTTGATACATTGACCAATTACTGTTATTCATAATACCAACAACCAGCCGTGTAGTTTCTAATTTAGCCAAAGGTGCTAACACCTCATCATAATATATACCTTCTCTTTGCAAAAATCCCTTCGCTACTAGTCGAGCCTTATGCTTGACAATTTCGCCTTTCGGATTTGCCTTCACTTTATAGGCCCATTTCACTCCTATTGGATTTTTCCGTTCTAGTAAATCGACAACTCTCAAGTACTATTTTTCTCAATCGATTCTAGATCATCTTTCATCACACACACCCACTTTGAATTTCTTAATGCCTCATCCGTGCTCACGGGCTCAGATTCGGCCATAAGCGCAAAGTGAATAAAATCACCATCATTGTTGATCTCATTATCATGGAATACTTCACAATCTCAGAGCCTTTGAGGTAGACCTCTATGTCTAGTTGGTCGTCTATTGGATTCACCATTTTCGAATTCGACCGGTTGCGGAGCTGTTTCTGCAGGCTGCTGACTTTCTGCATTTTCTTCATTTTCTGGTGGAAACCGGTTTCCAGGAACAGGGGATCCGGTTTCTGCTTCTAGAAATTCAATTCCAATAGCTTCAGAATGTAAAAATTGCGAAGGAAACTAGTTTCTTCTATTGGGAAACTAGTTTCTGTTACTGAACTGTGAGTTTTTCTGCTGTCAAACAACCTTAACTCGTCCACGATCACATCTCGACTGATCACAATCTTCTTGCTACTCACATCAAATAATTTATAGCCAACGGTAGGATGATAACCAACGAGTAGCATCATCTCTCCTTTGCCATACAACTTATTTCGAAGCTGACCCGGAATATGTCAAAATGTTACCAAACTGAAAAATTTCAAATGACTCAAACTTTGTTTAGAACCAGTCCATACCTCTTCTGGTGTCACTTTGTCCAGCTTCTTAGTAAGACACTTATTCAACAAATAGACGGCTGTAGACACTACTTCTCCCCACAATTGTTTCAGTAAATTTTTTCTCTTCAACATGCTACCAACCATATTAATTATTGAACGATTTCTTCTCTCGACAACACCATTTCCCTGAGATGTATAAGGTGGTACAACCTCACGCACTATACCCTTAACATCACAATAATTCCCAAACTCACTCGAGGTATACTCGCCTTCACCATCGATTTTGAGAATTTTCAACTAGTGACCACTTTTTCGCTCCATCATGGATTTAAAACGTTTGAACACATCAAACACATCATCTTTAATTTTGATTAGATAAATTCATAACTTCCTACTAAAATCATCAATAAAAGTGACAAAGTACTTATTTCCACCATACGAGTCAACTTACATTGGTCCGTAAACCTCTGAATACACCACCTTAAGATGATGTTTGGTTTTATGGCCTGCATCTTTGCTGAAACTACCCTTGTGTTTCTTTCCTTGAACACACTCATCACATGTCTCAGTTGGAACATTGATCTTTGGCAGCCCGGTAACCATACCATTCCTTTGCAACGAGTCGAGATTACAAAAATTGAGATGTCCAAGACGGTAATGCCACATCCTCTCATCACAACTTGCCACTGTATCAAGACACTTGTGCTCCATCGCTTTCAACTCTATCTTAAAAGTACGATTTGCAGCCATGAGTGCTCTAAGAATTAAGACTCAGTTTTGGTCTAAAATGCGCAAAATCTTGTTTTCTATGCGAATTATATAATTCTTTTCAAGTAATTGGCCATTGCTCAAGAGATTACATTTAATTCCATAAATTTATAACACATCTTTGATCAAGGAGTGACTCACATCCTTCTTCATGATCAAAACATCCCCACACCATCGGTCGCTAAAGTGATGTCATCCATAAATTTTACTCTATTCTTCGTGGTTTGATTAATTTTGACAAACCAATCTTTTCTACCCGTCATATGCGTTGAAAAACCAGAATCCAAATACCATTCATCACTGCCTTGAGCTCCATATCAAACGGTTACCATTGCATTTCGCTCTGAACGCATTTCTGTAGAATTTACTGCACTGCAGACACTGCTGCCCAGCTTCTGACAGCTCCTACTACTGCTGTCCAACAGCTTTTCCATGCCATAATTCTCCTCTGTAAGTATGACCAAAAGTGTATTATCAGCATCCACCTCTTGTTTTTCTACCTTAGCCTCATCACCTTGATTTTCCTTCAATTTCACATTACATTCACTTGCGAAATGCCAAAGTTTGTGACAATTGTAACACTTTACACCACTCTTGTCAATCTTTTTGGTGTAGTTACCTTGACTACAAACTTTGGAGTTGCTCTCTCCTCTTTGCACCATCGAAGCCTTTAAATTTTGTGACTCTTTGCCACCAAAATTATGAGAATTTGTCTTCCCTTTTGAAGACCATTTTCCTTTCGATATCTTGTTCTTCTCATTGATTCGTACTTGTAACGCAATCTCCGCTTTGGCCTTGTCACTTCCTCTTTCATCCATCTTTTGTTCATGAGCCACTAATCATCTTTGAAGCTTCTCCTTGCTCATTGTAAGAAGATCCTTTGATTCTTCTATTACAACCACTATGTTGTCAAATCCAGGCGTTAAAGAATGCAAGATCTTTGCTACCACATTTTGCACCGTCACGGTTTCACTGCAAGACTTCATTTGATTCACCAAATGCGTTATACGCGTAATGTAATTATTTACTGATTCTTTCTCTTCCATTTGCACTAATTCGAACTGCATCTTATGAGTTTGTAACCTCACAACCTTCGCTTTATCAGTTCCTTCATAAGCTTTCTTCAAGATCTCCTAAGCTTGCTTCGCCGACGTGCGATCTCCAACCTTTTTAAAGTTATCGTTGTCAACGCAAGAATGTATCAAGAAGAGTGCTTTGTAGTCTTTCTTCTTCTCTTCCTTGAATGTAGTTTGTTGTGCAGCTGTAGCTTCTTTCCCAAGAGGCGTAACTCCATCGTTAACGACTTCGAAAACTTCTTGATACTCAAACAAAACTTTCATTTGTTTGTACCATTTGTCATAGTTCTTGGAATCAAGAATTGGAAGGTTGGTAGAGATTCAATTACTGGAAACGGTAGACATAATTTACAGCGGGTTAATGGATCAGAACCAGACTCTTGATGCCAAATGTTGGAACATACACAAAATGAAGTTGGTGAATTAATGGTGAAAATTGGTTAATTGGAGAAGATGAAGTTGAGAGAGAAAGATAAAGATTATTAGAGAGAGAGAGAGAGGGTAATTGAGGAGAAAATAATGTTGGCATTGACATTAACTAACTCAAACATTACAAGAGGGTTTTTATAATGTGCTAAAAATTAACACAAAACAAAACACACCCAAAACTGTTACAAACAGCAAATCAGAAAAACTAAAATTTGCGGCAGAAACTGATATCCATAACTGAGAAAATTGGTTTCCTCTTCGACATTTCTAATTTCAGCAGAAGACAAAATGACTTTTCAAATAAGCTCTTTTCTTAAAATAGCTTCCAAAGACTTCCAAACAACATTTGACTTAAAACATAATATCTAATGTTTTTATGCTTTTGATATAATTTTTTTTTAATATCAAAATTTTAAAAAATCACTTAAATTTAAAACTATTTAAATAAATTTTTATAAAAATTATTTTTAAAATACATTTTTTAAAAGAAATTATGATTTTAATAATGTTCTAATCTTCGGTAATGTATATTTATTTATTTATTATAACATGTGAAAACTAATCTTAAGGTAAAAAACTTTAAATAATTTTTAAAAAAAATTTATGCAAAATATTTTTGAAAATAAAAAATTCATTTTTCTAAAGTTAAAACAAACTGCCCCTTATTTGTTGGTTTGAAGATTTCGTTTGTTCTACGAAAATTAGTTTTTTAGTTTAAACTTTTAGTTGTTTTTTTTGGGACTGAATTTTAAACTTTTAGTTAATTAATGGTTTTTTATCTAAATTTTTTCTTAATAAATTAATTAAATGATCTTTACGATTTTTTTTTAATTAAGAAATTTGTAGAATTTTTTTTAATTAATAAAAATCTCTAGATTTCAATACTAACAAAACAAATCTAAACAAATTATCTTCCTATCCATAAAGCAGTTCTAACAATAACAGAATATCAAAAAATAAGCAATCTCAAAAACAAACTCTCTACTCTTACTCCTCCTCATCTATAAATAGGGTTACATCCATATGAAAAAAATACACACAAGAAACCTATAGAGATAAAGAAGTTAAGGTTTTAGAAGAAGAAAAATAATCATGTCTCCATCCTTCTCTACACAACCAGGTATGCATTAATTACGACTATTATTTTGATGTATTGAATTATAAACAATTTTTATTTTATGCATCATATGTATCTAATGCTTTAATCACCATCTTTCAGAACCAACTATTTATTATAAATTATCGGCAAAATATCAAGATCAATATGAATACCTTCAAAGTATGATGAAGTATAATCTAGAGATGCAATGTCCAAAACTCAAGGCCAATCTATCTTGTTTCATCCAGATTTTTCATCTAAATCACGTGAGGGACTAGCAAAGAGGATCGTGCATGAAGTTCATGAATTGTTTGATTTCAATCAAGTGTTTGATTCTCATCATGCTAGTGGAGTTGGAGAATGTGTTTCTCATTGCTTCACTTTGCATCTTAGAATTGTCGTGGAGAAATAATTAAATATATAATAGGTATTATTTGTGGATTAAAATCTAATATTATTCCCTGTGTTTATTATTTTCTTAGAAGCAAATTTTTAGTTAATATTAATATCTTGGACCTTTTGATTCTCATTGATTTACTTTGCAACTTAGAGTTATTGTCTAGATATAGTTAGAATATTCAATGATTACTTTTTAATTTTGTTAATTGATTTTCTTATAAGAAAAATTCTTAGCGATAATATTTTGTATTATAAAATATTTATTTTCAGTTTTTATATATAGTGGAGTCATTTGGTTCAATCTAGTTCAATGTATATACAAATTTTTTTTTTATAATCATATGAAAAACATATAAAATTTAATTTCAAACTAATTAATCTAATTAAAAATCTAAATAGATATTCCTATGCATAAAGCAATCTCAAAATAATTTTTGTTGTGGGAAATAGAGAAGTTCAGCTTTTAGAAGAAAATAAACGATCATAGTAAAAATGTAATGCAGATAGAATTGTAAATCATTTTTATTTATAAATTAGTTGTTGTGTAATAGCGAAAAATTGTACCGACTTAATTTACAATTCTTTGATAAAACTAATAATTAAATTAGATCATAAATAAAATATAACATGAAAATAGAAATTTCATTATTTATTTTCTATAGTAAATAGAATTGATCGGATGTAGGATAGTTAAACAACTAGAAGTATGAAAAAGTTTTAAAAAATATAAAAGAATTAATAAAATATATTTGAAATTACGACTTTGATGAAAATATGATTTTTGATAGAAACATTATAACAGTTTGTTTTACGTTTAATTCACTTAATCCACCTTATACATAAAGTTAGATCGTTAGATTGTTGTCGTAACATATCAAGAATGAAAATAACAAATTATAATCTTTACTCTATAAGCTATTTGAATAATATTTTTTTAAGAAATAAACTAATAAAACTAAATTTATCAAAAATAACTTTTAAAACATATAAATTTATAATCTTTGCACAATTCGGTATGTTTTAATTATGATAAGATTGTAAGCTAAATCTTAAATTTTTTTGCAATATAGAATTCCATGTAAAGTTATTGGTAAAATACCCTATAAGTTAAGCTAAGGTTATAATTCAAGTTTTAAATATTTAAAAGTGTGAGAGAGTTTATTATAAAAATAAAAAGTGTGAGAGAGTTATGGTAAAGTCAAAAGATAGTACACTTTTAATGTAAAATATTTTATATTGTTATTTAATAAAAATTTATTATTTAATTATATTATATAATTTATTTAAAAATAATAGTATAATTTAATATTTAATATAGTTGTGATTGATTAACATTATAAAACTATTTTATACTATAAATACATTTTTTTCTTCTAAAATTTCCATGAAGATAATGTTGTATATAAATTTCTCTTCTTAAGTGTTTTTTTAAGTTTCTTAGGCTATTATAAAATTTAAAACTAGTTTCAGAACAATAGTATAAAATATTTAGGGTTATGTTAACTTGTGTTCTTCTTACACAAGTTAAAAATATTAAAAATTTTAAAATTAAGTTATTTTAATATGCATGTTGTTGTATCTCAAAATTTGTTCTATCACTTATTAAATATTTTCTCACAAAGATCTCTCTTGGTTCAAGACTGCATTAGGGTTGATCATCTCAAGACACCTCCTCAAACACTGATGACCAAAATTAAGGTTTGAGATTGCACAAGGATATTTGAACTTTCAATGCTTATTATGACTTTTATGGATCATTATGGACCCTCAAGTTTACTCATGTCAAATTCCAAGCCTTGGGTCACACTTTTGCTCAGTTAATTGAACAGTTGACCTAAAAATCAGTTGTATTGGGAAAAAGTCAACTATGGTCAATTTACAGTCAAAATTCATAATTTTTGATCCACATCAATATTATAAACTCATATGTATCATTTTATCAAGTTTGGACCATAATTCTTCAAGAATTTTGATCAAATCATCAAAAGGGCAAAATGGTCAAAATTAGGATTTTGACTGAGAAAGGGCAATTTCTGATTTTTGACCTAGAAAATGATCAATTAGTTTGAAGCATGATCTCAAGAGTTCAATTACATCATTTTGACCTAATGACATGACCTAAAACATTGTTCAAGATCAATTGGATTGACAGTGAATTTTCAGTCAACTGATCAAAAGTCAATTGTACACTGAAAAGTCAAACTTTAACTTTTTGGTTAAAATTCAACGTCAAAGATCACAATTCATCAAAACATGTAAAAATATGAAACTTATTCATCAAGAAATCAAAAATTCAAGATTTCATTTTGAAAAGTCAAAGTTTTCTAACTTAGAAATTTTTCTAAGTGTTTAAAACTTCATGTTTTTTCATAACTTTAAGCCAACTTTTCACCATGATGCAAGAGGATTCAGAAGAAACCTTCAACATGAAAGTTGTAGATCTCCATGATATCTATAACATTTCTTTACACAACTTCTCCTAAAAATTCTTGGATCTCAAGTTATTAATTCCTAAAGTCATGGTCTTGAAATTGAACACTTGTTAAAATTTTGCCCTAGTTTTGGTCAGGATTTTGACCTAACTTCATGACACTTTTTCATATAGTTCCAAAGGTAATTTTCAAAAGTGATTCAAATAGGGGTTGTAGATCACATTACAAGATTTCCAAAATATCCAATAACTCCTTAAGATCATTCTTGAGCAGGGAGAATCGAAGAGATGAAGTTAGGATTTTCACACTTGAAATACAAGTCATTTTGTGATGAACAAGATTCAAATTTCAAACCTATGTTGCATAATCTATACTTTAAAGGCCTCAAACTTCTTAGGCACTCCATAATTAATTGCTTGCATAACTGTTAGAGGTCTCAATTCAAACATTCAATATAAAGTCATGCTTTATATTCATTTTAGGAAGAAAGTGCACAATGCCATTTTGATAAAGTAGCTTTTTGTAAAAAAAACTTGTTCTTGAGCCTTGCAATTATTTTCTTCTGATCATACATGTCCTGTAACTCAATAAAAGTTTGTCTAAACACTTACAATCACTCAGCCCATGTTTGTACTTCCTCTTGGAACCATACTTCCAACTTTTCTTCAAAATCAAGTAACATAGAAATCAGTCTAGAACTTGTACTTCTGACCCTCTCAGGCACTCAAGCCTTTTGCTTATACATACACAAGTAATTTTTCACAAAACACACGCATGCTTGAGCCCTAAAAAGAGCAAGAACTCAGATTTGCATCTCACACCTCCATTGTTGCATATTCTGGCTAGAAATCCCAAAACCAAAAACTACTTGTGCGTTTCTTGGCTTCTTGTTTCCAAAAGCTTCCAAGCATCATACACAAACAATCCCATACCCTGTTACAGTTCTATAATACCATCTTCCTCCATTTCTAAGTTTAAAAACATAGCATTGCAAGTAGACTTCTCCAGACCATTTCAGCCATTCTCCAACCAAGCTAATCATTGCATTAGCTTCCTAGGACCTCAGTGGATCTATTCTGATCATCACAACACCTTGAGGAGTGCTCATACTCAGAATATGATTTCCAGTTTTGAGGTAAGTTCCCTTAACTTTGAACTTTTCATACAAGCATCATTAATGGTTTATTTGTGAATGAAAAATATAGATATCATTGCCCTAAGGCTTACCATGTCCATAGTTTTCATTTATGTTTCTTGAGCTTAGAGAATTTTAAGATTGAAGTTTCTGAAATTTTTAGGGTTCAGATTAGGGCCATTAAAATTCATGCTTGTCTTTGATCTATAATTTTATTGCTTTACATTTCTGAAACCGTGAGGAAATTTGCCACAAGATTCATTTTACACTTTTGCAAATGGATGAGAAATGAACAAGATGTAGGTACTCTGGCTGGGCGTTAGGTTGAAGATAAAGTTCAGGCCATGGACTTGATTTCTAATATATATTTATTGTTTTGTTTATATAAACGGATGTATAGTCACCCCAGTGGTAAAGCGCGCGCCTGTTAACCTTTGGGATCTGGGTTCGAGCCACAGTGGTATCATTTTGCTTATTTTCTCATTTTTCTCACATTTTTGGTGTTTGTTTGCAGCGCTGGGCCCCTGTGTTAGGCCTAGTATTTTTACTCATCTCATACTCCCTGCTCACTATTCACACTCCTGACCCATTTTATTTTTATTTTTTGTTCTTTATTTATTTGTTTTCTTTAATATTTTATTTAATATTAGAAAAATCAGAAAAAATATAAAAATATTAGATTTATATTTTGATATAGTTTATTTATTTTTACAATAAAAATTATTTTTATTTAATCATACTTTATCTATTTTACTAATTAATTTGCAAATTCAATTAGAAACTAGGGTTTTAATTGTTTATTTTACAATTAAAAAATATTCTTTTAAAACCAAAAAGACCAAAAATATTTTACCATATATTATTTTCAAGACAAAAAAGACATTAAAAATATTTTTCTTACAAACTTAATTTCTTTTTCTTTTTTAATCAATTAATATTTAGATTAGGGTTTTATTTAATTTTCTTTTCCTAATTAATTTAGGTTTACTTTTACTAATTTAACTAATTATTTACTTTTAGTTAATTAGGTTAAAACCAATCCCTTTCCTAAAAAAAATCCAAACAAAAATCTATTTTTTCTTTCCATTTATATTCTTGTATATTTATTCACTTTTGTACATTATTTATTCAAATTCAATATGGTTGTAATAGATAATTAGATTTATTTTCTTGCAATTCCTATTTGTAATTTGTACACCCCCTCTCACAAGTATTGTAATAGCATAATAATTTTAAATTTCGCAATTTATCGCTTTATACAAATGCTAGTAATTAGGGCTTTGTATAGAAAGACTAAAACCAATCAATTAGCAAATCCTAATCAAAGACAAATCAAGCATGAAAAATCAACACACTTGCACACAAGCACCCCTAGGGTAAAATCCACTTGGTTGCCTTACAAAATGACCATGTTATGCATGTGAGGTATCTTAACAAAAACATTTCTAAATGATGCTATCAAAAGTTGCCTTTCAAAATGATCTTAGTCCCTAAAGAAAGATGCTAAGATACCTTGCAACATTTCTAATCATGGTTATATGATGACCCATGCCCGTCCCGTTTACATCCAAAGATAGGGTTGCTTACCAAATCAATGGTAAGATAAAAATGTCAAAGGAAAGAGGAAATAAACAAGAAAGACTTTTGAGTAGGTAGATTGTTCCTAGTTACTTGCTCACTTTCAAAACAAAATATCCTTGATATTTTCAAAACAAACACCAAACACTTTCAAAAACATCTTTCAAAACTTGAAAACATTTTCAAAAGATCAACACTTTGTATACATTCTTACGAACGAGAATCATTACCAAGTTTTCCTAAACGATGGCGTCTTTTAAAAATACTTTCAAAAACCGCACAAAGCACATTTTCAAACAAAAGCAAGTGATCTAGAAAGTAACTAAGAGCCCATGGAAAACCATGGATGAAAAGGATGCTAATACCTTCCCTTTTCATAATCTACCCCCCCCGAACTCAAGAAACAATCTCAAAGGTCTTTCCTGTGCTTTTTCACCTTTCCTTTTGGATAAAAGAAAAGTCGGTGGCGACTCTTGCTAACCGCAACATTTGCGATAAAATGCAAAATATCCCAAGACAGTTCTCCCACCATATCACACATGTATTTAAAAAAGTTTTTTTAATAAATAATTTATTAATTTTTATTTTAAAATATTTGAACATACAATTACATAATCACATAAACGATGAACAATTGAGGATTTAGGATATATGGAAATGAAGATATTGAGGGAAAAGAAAGAATAATAAAGAGAGAGAGAGAGAGAGAGAGAGGTAATTGAGGATGAGACTCATTAATTGCATTCACTAAAGATGAGGATGTCTCCAAGATATTTATGCAAGTGTTACAAAATGATTGAGACCTAAAACACATCAACAAAATACAAAAAAAAAGCCAAAACTCGGGGCTGTAACTGATTAACACAATCTGTTAATTGGTTACAACTAACTAATACAAACTTAAAAATAACAATTCGGTGTAAACGGTTGATGCGTATGCGTAACTGGTTAACGCCAACTCAAAACTACTTTTTTTCTTATCCATAAGTGCTTTTCCACCAAGCTGCAACCAGTTACGCCCCTGTGTTAAACGATTACAGCAATTGAATTACATGTTTCCACTCAACACACCACCTTAATTCAAGTGCTCAAAGTATTCCATGCTCATGTTCATCTTCAACCTTTTGAACACATCATTTGCGACTCCCTTAGTCAACAAATCAGCAACTTGGTCTTCACTTCTACAATATCCCAATCTTAACTTACTTTCACTAACAAGCTCCCTCAAATAGTGAAACCTCATCTCAATGTGCTTGCTTCTCCCATGTGCAATTACTTTCTTAACAAGATTAATGGCTGGCACATTATCAACCAAGAGTGTGATAACCTCATCCTCATTGCTGCTCAACTCTTTCAATAGATTCATTAGCCACACGACTTGATACACACATAACAAAGTGGCAATATACTCGGCCTTATAAGACGAGAGTGTAACTATCATTTCCTTTTTAGAGCACCATAAGATTGGTGTTCCACCTAACATAAAAATGTATCCAACTGTAGACTTTCAATCATCTTTATCTTTGCACCAATTGGAATCAATAAAATCGAGAAATTGAATTTTCTACCCGAATCCGCTGTGGGAAAGAGAATTCCACAGCCAATAAATCCTCGGACGTATCTTAGGACTCTCTTGACTACTGCCAAGTGATACACCTTTTGTCTCTCTGTGAATCTACTCGCATTACCGACACTAAATGCCAAATATGACCTTGTATTTCAGAAGTAACATAATGATCCAATCAACCTTTTATATTAAGTATGATCTACGTTCTTCTCCTCTTCATTCTTTGACAGCTACAACCTTGGTTCAGCTGGTATAATGGTAGTATTACAATGCTCCATATCACACTTCCTCAATATCTCAAGGGCATATCTTCTTTGATGCAAAAGCAATCCCTTTTTGGATTTGTGGAACTCTATGCCAAAGAAGTATGTCATGATATCAAGGTCGGTCATCTCAAATTCTTTCATAAGCTCACTATTGATTTAGTAATACTCTTCTCATTGTTGCCCATGATCAACAAACCGTCAGCGTATAGACAAAGAATGATCATACCTTCAATTGTATCCGACTTCACATAAACTCCATGTTTGAACACACATTTCTTGATGCCAACATCAATTGGAAAATCACATATCCCTTTGTTCTAAGCTCTTGGGGCTTGCTTCAGTCCATATAACACTTTTCTCAACTTGTAGAATCTTCCCTCTTGATTTTTCACAACAAAACCCGGTGGATGTTCTACATACACTTATTCTTCAAGTGGACCGTTCAAAAACACGGACTTCACATCCATTTGATAGATAGACAATTTGTTACTATTCACATTACCAACAACTAGTCTTATGATTTTGATCCTATCAACAAGTTCAAATACCTCATCAAAGTCCATACCTTATTTTTGCAATAATCCCTTTGCAACTAATCAAGCCTTATGCTTGATTATTTCACCTTTGGGATTTACCTTCACCTTAGAGACCCATCTTACACCAATCAACTTTTTTCCTTTTGGTAGATCAACCAATTCTCAAGTACTATTTTTCTCAATCGATTCCAATTCCTCCTTCATAGCACATATCCGCTTTGGATCACTCAAGGCCTCTTCCGTCTTAACATGCTCGAATTCGACCATAAGTGCAAAATGAGTGAAATCACCATCTTCATTAATTTTGTTGTTGCAGAATATCTCACAATCTTTAAGTCACTAGTTCCCTCTCTGAACTAGAGAACATGCCTCTTTCGCAACAACTACACAAATGATGCATGAATATGTTCAATCACGAAAATAACAATACAAATCAACAACAATAATTATGCTCAATTTAGCAATACTTGTCCCTGGTTCCTCTCTTGAATCAGACTTAACTCAATTCACCCTTTCATGACCAGTCACCATAAAACTTCAACATAAATTATCTATTCAAATAAATATTTATCAACTCATGTATTTATGTTATTATAGATATTCAAAATATTTGTAGTTGTAGGCCACCAAATTATCAATCAAGAATACAAGATAAACAACTAGCTTTGTTACCGAGAGCAAGTATCTAAGTTAATAAGATCTTCCTCACTAACAAGCTTCTTTGCGACTAAATACTCTCCTTTTTTCACGTACTGACCAAATATCTTCTAATTCTCTCAACTCCTCTATTTATAATAAAAAAAAATTAATTTGATTTTCTCTATTCTATCTTCATTTACTCCCAAAATATCTACTTTGTCCTTTTCCTTAAACTTCTATTTTAGTTTAATTATTTAATCTAATAATCAAATATTCCCAAATACCTTTATTTTCTCACTTTAGTTAAATAAATCAAATAATCTAATATTATCTAATTATTAAAATAATTTTTAATGATTATCAATTATTCTAATCAATTTCTAGTGTCTCTCAACACCCCAATCTCAAGGTCACACACCCCACAATCCATAATTATTTAATTACTACACATAATAATCAAATAAAATATATAAATTCATCAATAATTCAAATAAAAGAATTAAATTAAATTAGGGTGTTACAATGAGCATAATTTAGAGTGCAAGAAGATATGAAAATTAAAGGTTCCAGAGAGAGTGAGGTGTTTTGTGTGGTTGGGGAAACATAGATGGCTATTGAAAAATTCTCATAAGAGCATGATGGGATTGGGTTTAACAATGTATGATTATTGTGGAGATATGTTAGAAACTATGTTTCATGATGTGTGATTGTCCTTTAGTTATGTTATTATGGTTAAATATTGTTCATAGCAATACTAGAAGATGGGTTTTATCTTATAATATGCAGCAGTGGATAACAATGAATTTATGCATAGAGGTGAGGTGGAACAAGAAAGAAGATTGGAGTAATTATTGGGTTATGTCTTGTGACTATATTTGAAGTTGGAGGAATAAGGAGAAACACAATAGAAACTATTATAGGCCTTATAATCCTACTTGTATGGTAATGAGAAACATGAGGAACTGAATTTTGGCTGCTAATACAACAACATATCAGATAAAACGTCAACACCAAGTGGAATTAATGAGTTGGAAACCTCCTCCAGTGGGATTGGTAAGACTAAATACATATGGATCTCGTAGATATGTCAATCAACCTAACCTCTTGAAGTGATTGTAGGCTTCTTATTATACCTAGCCAATCTTGAAGATTCCTAAGCAAGTTTCTCGAAAATATCATTGATGAAACTGTTCATTATTCCCGTTGCTTTACTTGAAACACAAATATCATGATGAATTTGTTTTAGAACCTTAAATATATAGATCTTGTACATTTTAACTCTTTTCTTTGACCTCTTTTTCTTCTTATCACTTCCTCCTTTCTTCTCAACTGATTTCTTCTCTGATGCTTTCGCCAATTTTGAAGGACTAGAATGGAAATGAAGAAGATGGATAAGCTTTTTGATTTAGTATATGGGTTGACTTAATATGGTGTGTTTTATTTATATAGGTTTGTGTTATGTGATTTGATTGGTTGATTGGGTTTTGGTTTGGATCGATGACATGAACCGTTGGATTTTCATGCTTTTATCATAACATTGGACGATCCAGATAAGTTTCCATTTTTTTTCCTTTCTTTTCCAAAATTTCAATAGAATTATGAATTTGTTTTTGACAAAAATATTGTAGGCAAGGTTTTAAAGAACTGTTCGCGAAAACAAAAACAGACATGACAAACAGATATCGATAGGTGCCGATATCGATACTGATATTCACCATTTATATGTTAAAGAATAAATTGTGGTTAATTCACACCATAATGACAGCAACTAGTGTCGTAATCCCTGTACCGACTAAAACCGCCAAAGCCTTAACACGAATGTTATGCAATCATAATCATTATTTAAAATCTTAATTATGATTTTTTTCCTTTCTAATTAACACTAGTAAGAGGCTCGTGCGTTCGTACAAGTCGCGCAATATTGTTATAAATAGTAAATAAATATAATATAGTAATGGTTAAGAAATGAATATAAAGTATATACAAATTACAAAGAAAAAAATGTTCCAAATTATGATTGTCATATCAATATTAATTTAATTTAGAAGATAATAATATTTTGTCATGATGTACAACGAAATTATGTTAATTGAATTAAATATCAATTTTAAAAAGTAGAGATATCTAAAGAAAATTATGATATATGTATATATAATAAATATATAATATATGTGATTAACTTTATTTGATTTGGGAACAAATACTATAGTATTTTGCTTAAATTCTGGTCATTGTTATCCCTACTCCTCTCTTATTATAAGCACCTGTAAATTTTTTCACATATTTTAAATAAAAAGGTCTATAAATTTAAGAGATTTATTTTTTCAAAAATATCATTTATATATTAATATGCGCAACTTTTAATTTACATATTCTTAATATCAAATTAAAATATAACATAAAATATCAGGTTGTCTCGACTCGTCAGACATGTATGTTTTAATAGAAAAAAGAAATTAAATAATATAAAAACCAACTAATTAACCAATATATTTTTATAATAAATTTAGAATGGTCAATTAATTGAAATAATATTAGAGGTAATTAATTATTATTCCTAATTACAATTTTAGCTGAAAAAATTATTATTCTTAATTAAAAATTAAAAAAACCAATAAAAATCGAAGTAATATAATTATTATGTATCATTAACAATAATTTTTTGGATCACACCCCCTTATTATGTCTACCTCGCCTTTTTTCGGACATGGGTATTAACGGAGTGAGCATAAATTTGTTTTAGATTTTATAGAGTAATGCCCATTAGGCATATATAAACGTTGACCATATATAATATGTTTTACATTTGTTTCAAACTAAGACAAAATATTAATGAGTCAAATAAGGTTACTTAGTTAGAAATAGACATAAAGTATTTGTGTATTCACCAATCATAATTGTCTAATGTATTTTTTTTAAAACAAATATGGTGACATTAGAGGCCATCATACAGGAAAATGACGAACCTCTCCAAGCCTACATAGAGAGGTTCACCAAAGAAGCTGTCCATGTCCTGGCCACTGACAACATGAAGAAATATTTACTCGAGCGAGGACTGTGCCCCCACAGCAACTTCGCCAAGGTAGTATGCATCGAGACACATGCGTCGCTAGGCTCCCTCCTTTCCAAAGCTCGAGCCTACATCCAGTAGAAGGAGAGGGAAGTCGTGAACAATGCTCGTGACTCACGTCACCAAGACAAGCCTAGAGTCCCGAAGAATGACGATCAGCTTGCACCTCGTCGTGGGGGGAGGGGCAAAAGAAGGAAAGACCCCGTGACTCCAAGGACTCTCGAGGACCCGTTGGCCGCTTTATAGAATACACCCCGCTGACCACTTCCTGCGAGTGGATCCTCTTTGAATGTGCGAACGCAGAATTCCGCCAGGTTGGGGTACGTTTTCCCAAACAAATGCCTCCCAAACCTAACACAGACAAAACCAAGTACTTCCGTTTCCACAAAAACCACTAGCACGTCACCGAGGACAGCATCCATCTCAAGAACTCAATTGAGATCATCATTGGAGATGGGCATTTGAAGAAGTACCAGAAAAGGAAAGCTCATCGACAAGAGGCCCGGGAAGCATAGAGGGTTGAAGAGGAAATTCCATCCTCTCACGCTGCCGCCAATCTTCAATTCGCCATGAGCATCTCCTGACTTGAGGACTTCTTTGTCCCCGAAGAATCCAACTTCCCCCTTTATACTGCCACACACATCATGTAGGAGTCTTTCCTCTCCGCCATGGTCATATCTAGCGGGAGATTCAACAACATCACCATAAGATCGGTTAAACGTGAGTTCTAGAAACTCATCGGTGCAAGCTTGGCCCAGAATAATGTACTCGACAAACAACAGGGAGAATCAACTCGTATCGCCTTCTACCGAGAGAAGCTACTCGGTGGCTCCCCCAACTCCAACATCCACATGTTAGTGCGGTCATGCATGGCTAACTTTGACGTACACCGCATACTCGTCGACCAAGAGACCTTGGTCAATATCATGTACACCTATTTGTTCAAAACTTTACAGCTCGACGAGGCACACCTGACACCCTACGTGGGCTCCGACCTACAAGGCTTTAACGAAGGGACCACGAGGCTGTGGGGTTACGTCGAGCTTATTGTCACTTCAGAGCAGCTGAGACCTTCAAAGCGGTCAAGACCTAATTCCTGGTAATAGATTGTTCCTCTCTATACTAGTGCATTCTGGGGAGATCGACTTTGGATGAACTAATCATCGTTCTCTCCATGATCCACTTGAAGATGTAGTACTACACACCCAAGGGACTCGTCACCATCCTTCACGGGGATATCAAAGTCGCAAGGAGATGTTTTGAAGCGGCCACAAGGGGGAAAAACTCCATCAACACGTCATCCAGGACTATCGACAAGCCTCCTCATCCCATTAGCTCATAGGAGCCAAAGCCAATCTCTCGTGTTGATTCGATCGATCTTGACACTCGCTTCACCAAATATGTCCTAAATATGTAGAAGAAGAAGGAACAAGAAGCACAACTAACAACACCAGAAGATGGCAAGGAGCCTCATCATCCTTTGTGCCCCATTCCAGATGGAGAGTTTGAAGTCATCCTCCTCAGTAATGACCCAAAAAAAGGAGTAAAGGTTGATATTGGTCTCCCCGACCTGGAGAGGAAACAACTGAAAGCCTGTTTGTGAGAAAATGCAGATATGTTCGCGTGGAGTGTTGTTGAGATGCCCAAACTGGAACCTGAGCCCGCCTGCCACCAGTTGACCATAGATCCCACTGCTAGGGCAGTAGTACAACGTAGGCGTAGGCAGTCTCCTGAGAAAGTGGAGGTTGCTGAAAAAGTTGTAAAAGACCTCTTAGAGGAAAAAATTATTTCTGAAGCCCAATACTCAACCTGATTGTCAAATGTTATACTCGCTAAGAAATACAATGGAAAGTGGCGAAGGTGTGTTTATTATACTGATCTTAATAGAGCATTCCTGAAAGATGCATACCTTATTGGAAAATTAGAAAGTGTACTAATTTTCCAATGTAGTAATAATGGGAAATCCCAAAGTATCGATCTCAAGGACTGCGTATCAGTATCGAGTGACACGCTAGAGTAAAGTGTATAATTTTCCATGTAACAACCTTGAATCTTGATTTCTTCAACAAGTTCATAATATCAATTACCAGCTCTGTAGGTTATTTTCCCCTAAGTCCTTAGTGGGAAAACCTTTAAACATTCATCTTAAATCCTAAGTCCTTAGCGAGTTATGATGAAATCAAGCCTTTGTTTAATCAAGAGTTAACCAGACACTATAGGGTATCCCTAGTCCTAGGTGATATCTACTACAATCTAATCGTACAAAAACCTTAACAATCAAGGTCTAGCAGATTATTAACCTTAAATAAATCTTTGTTGGTGCGACAAAGAAAGCATAAAAACTTTGTTCAATCAAATTGAATATGAAAATACATAGATTAAAGAAATTCGAATTACAAGTCGTTTACAGAGTCAAATCAGGGACACCCCTAGAATTAGGGGGTTTAGATACTCATATTGTTCAAAGTAATTTCAGAATAAAAATTAGACATTATAAATTACTGGTGAACTTTGATCTTCATTTGATTATGCTCATGAAAAGTCTCTGTTCTCCAACAATTGCATATGCTTCAATCTTCAATCCTCAAAAATCTTCGCTGGTAAAAAGTCCCCTAATTCCTTGTGAAAACTCATCTAAATAGTCACCATTCATTCAGATCGATTGGAAGTACCCAAATTCCCTCACAGCTTAACATATGGACAAAATAGGAAAAAGTCAGGAAATCAGCGTTATAGGCCAACACGACCCGTATCAGGCAACACAGCCACATGTGTTGGCCCCCTGTCTTTCCAATTTTTCTTTTGAAGTCCCAAAAGGTGAAACACGGCTTGTGTTAGATGACATGGCCACCTGTGTTGGCCCCTTGTCTTTCCACTTCTCCAAGGTGTCCCCCTAACACGGCCCGTGTCAGGTGACACGACCACCCGTGCCAGGCCTCTTGTAACATTGTTTTTGTACTTCCTCCGAAACTCTGAGTTTTTCACTTTTTTGCACTGATTTGTCATGTTTTATTCCTCTGAGCCTACAAACAGTAAAACACACAACCAACTTATAAAATATGGTAAAATGAAATAAAACACTCGAAAATAAAGAGAAAAGATAAGTCAAATCAAAGGTAAACAACAGTGTAAAAACCACTGATCAAACTCCCCCAAGCTTAAATAGTTTCTTGACCTCAAGCGACAATTACAAGAGCTCATAAAATTCACAGCATACCGGTACTCATACGTGAGACTTCTGTTCATATTGTTCAAGAGGTATTTCATTCGTTGTTCACATACGCAAAGAATTTTTGTAAGAACCTTTTAAACATGGGCTTCCTCTTCGGATACCTCT